ACTCATTATTTCATTGGTTTTCAAGCAGTGTTTGGTCAAACATGGGAATTCCTTAAAATTAGTAGGTAAAGAAAAAAACCCCAAAAAACTAGGGGCCAAAATTCTGGTATCTACATCATTCTTTACTTCAACCAAACAAAGTTTCCTTTATTCAATTTATGTATTATATTTCTCTATAATATTTCATTGTAAAATCCTCCAAAATAGTTTTTTATCCTACCTTAGTCTCCATTCAATTTATAATAAATTGAAGATTCAGGAAGAAGAAGGCCTCTCTGAAATAGCAAGACAAACTGACAGCAGAAGTAGAGCTAGGACATAGTCTTGATATTCTAAATCTACTTTGTGTGTTTCTATGTTGTGTTTGTAGACATCAGTGTGTGTCAGTTATGGTGACTGGTGAGTGCTACAAGTGAAATATTAGCCATGCTTCATGTCAAGATCTTGTTAACTTCTATAAGGGAAGCCCACAAATTTATGTAAACCAATAAACAACACAGTGAAATTTAATATGAGTTCAGAGTGTTCTTCATTAAACCCCGAGTCATGGAGAATCATAGGTGGCTTTATCTGAAAGGAAATCTACATTCACTTGCCCTGCAATTCCAAAGGCACATAGTTCAAACTCACCAGCTTCTCTGTGGGAGAAGGATGGGCAATCTCTTTCTTCTTATTTAGTGCCTCTAAAACCCAGCTGGATGGTCAGAAAAGGATCTATTTTAACTCAAAGGCACACAAAAAAGCAAATCCCATTTTTGGCATTGAAATTTAGTATGATGTGATATAATTCTTATCCTTGATAACATATTCTGAGCTAATAATTTTGCAGAACTAGATACTGCTACCATGTCCTTAACCAAAAGATCTGGTTGCACAGTGAGGAGTATGTGTATACACACACACACACACACACACACACAGACACATCTATACACACACAAATATGTGTGTGTGTGTGTGTGTGTGTGTGTATATATATAAAATTATAGCAATGAGAGAATTTTTCTTTTACTTTTCAAAAAGAAGAGTGAACTGGAGTGGAGGTTGGGCAGGGAGAAAGTGCAACAATGAAAGAATGGAAATCCAAAGCCTCTGTATTTCAATTCTTTCATTGTTACACTTTTCTCCCTGCCCAACCTCCACCCCAGTTTGCTCTTCTTTTTGAAAAGTAAAAGAAAAATTCTTTCATTGCTATACAATACCTTCCCCCAAGTCCACTCCACTATGCAACCTTCATTCTGGACTCCTGTCATGACAGTAATACCTAATCATATATTTCTTTTAAACAGTTCTCCCCCTCATCTGTGTACAGAGACAATTCTGAGTATAACCAGTGAGAAAAAACAAGTAAGGCTGCATGGAAGGATGGTTAAGTGTCAGAGGAAACATGAGATCCTAAAATAAAAATAATTCAGAGGCAGATGGCTAATTCAATCACTGTAGATTCTAGAGCTGTGTGGTGATGTGGTAAAAACAGTAATTAGAATTTGAGTCTAGGCATCTCTATAGGTCAGGATAGAAAAATCAGGAGCACAGACACAATTAAAATTTCAATCAAGGAAACAGAGCTACATTTTAACAGTTTACTACAACTTGTAATAAATAAAATAAAGGTAGGACAATGGTGAAAATTTGTCAAGAATTCTCAGATTTTGAACCTCATTGGCAATTAAAGAAATAAATTTGAAAATGCTAAGTGGAATGAGACTGGAAACATAATTATTTTGACCTTAGACATATTTGGTTTGAGTACTACAGCAGGGTACGCGTAGGAGGAATGTTCTATAGATGGCCGGAGACAAAGTAGCATGCTCATTCTAAGTTGTGTACACAAAACCAAAGAAGATCAATGAAACAGTAGAAACTGATGAATTGTAATTTCTTGAAATACAGACAGAGAAGTGGTTAGAACTCCTGAAGGAGTGAACCTAGCATTAAGGATACTCAAGATGCAGGGGATTTCTCAGTGGACTCAAAAAAGAGAGATTGAAGAAGTGTGAAGCAATTCAATGTTAAGTATTTCAAGAAGACATCAGCCAAATATCAAAGATATTTGAGATGGAATTTTTGTGTATGACTTCAGAGGAGTTAATAATGGTTTTAGAGAGAATAGACTCCATGGAGATACATGTGTGAAAGAGTGAAGAAGGTGTAGAATGAGTGTGGTGTATAAGAAAACGTGGATAGTTCAGAGCTATTTGGTCAAGAGCATATGAGCTTACAAGGTCTGAGGCAACTAGAGGAAGTGTCTAGGAAGTAGGGAGAAGAAAGAATGAAGAATATGTCCCAAAGGCCTGTGGAAAGGTCATTGGGGACTATAGGAAAGGAAAGGGAGTTTCGCACACTGGAAGGAACCATGTCAGAGGTTCAGTACAAAGATCCCAGGCTTTCTGGTGAACCAGAAGCTTGCTGTTGGTTCCCATTCATTCCATGATTTTTGACCAGAACCCAGGAGAGAATGCCTGATATGGGAGTCTTTGGGGTATACATAGGGACAGAAGCTTCTAGGGCCCAGAATATTAAGCAGAGTGGCTCACCACTGAGTTGCTGCTGACTATTGAGCTGAAACTGATCATGTGGTAGAGCTGTGTCTCTGTCTGTCCAGCCATAGATAGGGCCCTCAATTTTCATCTGTTTAGATGATCTTTGCCACAGCTGCCAGGAAACCCACATTTCTTCTGGCATAGTTGAAGAACACCTAGTAATTTGGCTGGCAGTAAGTATAGCATTAAGTCACCTTGCACTAAGGTCACTCTATTGTCAGACTATCTGAGATAGAGAGATCATAATCCATTCCCTTTTTGCTCAAAATGTAGTCTGATGATTAACAGTGTCAGCTCATTTGATTGCTTATTTTAAATGTGGAGTCTAGGTCCCTATTTCAGACCACAAAAAGACCTCATACCAATTGCTTTGAGTCTATTCTGACTCGTGTTATAGATGAAAATGTTTTCCATTAGGATTTCCTTGTAGATAGATAGATATAGATATATGAAAATATGCAAATTACTGGGCTTTTATTCCATATAGTACCACTGAGTGGTTTCAAATCACCAATCTAAAGGTTGGTAGATAACAGTAAACTCTGTTATTCAAAGGTCTTTCCCCAGAGTTAAGGATTTAGAATCTATAGTTTAATAAGATCCCGGATTATCTGTATGTCCATGCCAGAGTGAGAGGAATTGAGCCAGTACACTGGTTCTCAAGCTTGACTGATCATTGGAGTCACTTCAAACTCTGTACAACAAGAACCTTCAGCTCAGGAAATAGTACTTGTCAGAGGCTCTGTGTGGTTTAGACATGTTTGAAAGTCAATGACTTAACTAAACACTTCATTTTTAAAATTTAAGCTTTCTTTATACTCCAGAAGAAATAATATGAGCATGATAAGATAATTTCTAACAGATATTAAGAAAATAATTATGTTAGTAATGATTAAGTTGTTAGAATATTTTGTAAAACCTTCAGTACACATTCTATGGATGTGTGTCTCTCGCTGGGTGGATTTAAACAAGACAATGGTGCATATTGTTTAGAAGCTGTTTTTTTTTCACTTATTATGTTTGGAAAATATTCATGTCATAAAATGTTCTTCTATTATACAATTTTAAATGTGCATGTCCTTTTTCTTTTTACAGACTTATGATCATTTTGAAACCAATTTTCTATAACTAAATGTTTAGGTATTTCTAGTCCTTCATTGCTATAAAACAATGATGTAGTGAATATCTTTATGACTAAGCATTTGAGCAATACACAAAATTACAAGGTCAAAATATTTTAATGCTTGAGAACATTGAATTCACATCACTAGCAATCAAATTACAAATGTATTAGTTTGCACTGTTTATCAGTGCCCTGTTATTTTTTTTAACTCTCACCAGTCTTAAAATTTCCATTTCAAGGGACAGAAAATTACTTGTCCACTGTAACAGAGTGGCAGCCACTTCGGATATTGTGTTTTTATGTCTTCTAACACTCAGATCAATTCAGTGACTCTAGGGGCCAGACATCCTACCCTCACCACTAGCCTGTTCTTCCTTATTTATCTCTCAAAACCATTCTTTTTAAGACTATAGTTTTCTTTTCTTCTTGTTCCTTTCTTTTTCTAACTTTTTTAAAAAAATTTCTCTGGCTTGTATTTCTCCCTTCTTATTTTTCTTTTTGATTGGTGAGAACCAGATTGGCTTGCTAAACCATTTTGCAACTTATTTTTCTGGGCTGTTTTCCAACTCTTTCATTTCCTATGCCCTGATTAGTTTTGCATTTTATTCATACTAGAGTCTAGATTCACTCTTCAAAAGTGAATGACTGCTTTAGATGAAAACTATAGGATAGGATAATCCAAAGAGGAAGAAGAGATAACGTAAAGTTTTATGTCCAGGGATTTAAATAAGACCTGAACTACATCACAGTCTTGTCCTATTTTCCATCTGAGTCAGAATGGAGGAGTTAGATTCTCTCTTATTAATCATAGATATGTGATTCCAATCTCAAAGAATGAAGGTTTCTAACTCTCCAGGAGGAGATTCTCCCTACTTCATCCCTGTACTGAGCTCTGAACCCCTAATTCTTGGCTGAGGAAAGAGGCAGGAGTATGGTAAGCCTAGGGACAAGTTGGGAAATGGGTGCTGGGTTTGAGATGTGCAGCTGAAGCAAACTCTGCGTAATTCTCCAACCTGGGGAGAGAGTCTGGTTGCACTATTTGAAGGAGCCTATTATCCTGTTTCCCAGAGTTGACATCAGTATATTTTATCATCAGGCCAGCTTGACTTGTTCTCAGTGACTCTAAATGAGGGACAAGTAGAGTTGCCTAGAGATGCTGGGTGAGGAGAGACACTGGTGCATTCTGGTAGGCATGTTGTATACAAGGTGTCTCTTAGACCTCTCCACTTAGGACCTGGTGATTGTGGAGCCTCCAGGGAGCTCCACTTAACTCCTTCTTTAACAGATCTTTTCTCTTTGTCCTTCAGCAAAGACTCAACACCCTGGTCACCAAAATGTGCTCTCTTCCTATGGCAAGACATTACGTGTAAGTCTTTCTGGAAATATCCCATTTTCCTTACCCGTGAGTCTCATGGTCACATGGGAAGAAGCAAGACTGAGTCAGAGGGATAAAGCTCCTTGTCACTTTAGAAATCTCAAGTGCCCTGTAATTAAATTTAATAATCTTTACAAAATAATAGCTCTTCTGCTGGGTGCCTGTGAGATGCCAGCCATTCTGCTGCCTGACTTCCAGCCCAACAAATCTATGGGAAAAATTCTACTAACACATTTTGCATATCCAAAAGCTGAGGTTCAGGGAAGGTAAAAAAATTCCCTCATACCAAAAGGCAGACCATGAGACACCTTTTTACAGAAACCAAAAGACAACACCTTTATATCTCCAACTCTACAGCCCTTGTTTCTAGCCTGGGATGCCAACACTTACTTGAACTTGGCCTTACTCAAGATTCATATTCTCTATCTACTGTCTCAAGTCTTTTGAAGAATGAAAGGGAATATAATAAAAATGAAATAGGATAGGCATTTCTTCAGACTCTGCCTTTGGTCTAGTGCTGCTGGAGACATGGAGAGGCAGGGTCTCCAACACAGCTGAATGCAGGACACATGCGCACACAACACACAGATGACAAGCAGATGTGAACGTTTGGGGGAATGTAGCTTAGTCTCTCCTCTTCCAATAGAGTGTTGCTAGTATTTTTCATTTACCTCTTTTTGGTAAGCATGTTCTTGCTCACCAGATGTCAGGGTTCAATAAAACCTGCCAGCTGGCAAACCCAGAACTTTGTAAGATCATCATTTTTGTTGTAAAATGTATCTTCTTTGAACACATATAGTCATTAGTTAAAACTACTATAATTAGCTTCTATTGGGACAGAAGATTATCCTGGAGGCAACTGTGTTCACCCATAGGGTCTCCCCGTGAAGGCAATGAGGGCTCCTCAGGTCCTGAGAGTGACTGACAGGCATCTTCAAAACCATACAACCCAGTAATAACCTGTGTGAGTTTCATATTCCACATGCTCACCTTCAACACAGTTTCTCTTCTACCTCCCCATCACGTGTTTACTCGGAGATTAATCATTACACCTATAGCAAACCACAATGACTATACTGTAATCAGGCCATGCTCCAGATCTCTGTTGACATCCTGTCTTGGCACCAATGTTCGAGGTTCTTCCAGAGCAAACCTTACTCAGGCCCAGAGCTGGAATGACCATATTGGCAAATGTCATGTAATACAAATTTCTTTTTCTGATTTATTGGTATTCCCCCCCTACAAATAATCTTCAAACTACCTAAAAAGCAAATCACATTTCACTAAGCACTAAAATAACTCCTTTATTGAAAAAAAAAAAACAGACACACCAAACCCCAGTTGTAGTCAAGTTGACCTCTAGACATGGAAATCCCACATGTGAAGATTGAAACTGTTCCATAGTATATACAGGGCTGTAACCTTTTGGGAGTGGAACATCAGTCTTCTGGGGAGTCTCTGGTTGATTTTGAACCACAAGTCTTTCTGTGGGTAGCCAAACACTCACCCAATTATGCCACAAGAGAAATTAAACATCTATGAAAAATGGAAGCAGGCCTAGAAAACCTTGACTAAGACTCCCACAGACCCCAGAACATCACTGGGAAATTACTCAGTAAGGGAACGAGGAAGCAGTTGAATAGGCTGTATCCAGAGTTCCTCTCACCCTCCAAGAGCTCAGATGGTGCCCAAGCTGGGCGAGGGTGCCAAGCTCAGTCACTGTAAACCACAAGCTTAGACAGTCTTTCCTTGCCTGAGATGCACCTCCTCGTTTTTGGTGGAAGAGTGCTCCTATTTCTCACTTGAAAAAAGGAGAAGCAGCTCCCCTTGCTCAGTCTGATGATTTAGAGCATAAGAGTTGAAGTGGTTGGCACTGAAGGGATGCTTGAAGGGTGTGGGTCATCAGCACTGCCATCTTGTTCCAGAATTAAGGATGCTGATCAAAATGCACTGTACCTGAGGGATGGTCAGCTCATGGTGGGAGAACCTGATGGAGACAACTGTGGTGCAGGTGAGCGTGCATTTGGGATTCAAATCCCTTGGACTCACCCTAGTGTCCACCTACCACAGGCCTCTCACCAGTCCACTTTCCTCCCATCCCCACCACAGGGCCATGGCTACTTCCATTGAGGGTGAGAGAGAGGAAGCTGAAGGCTCTGTCCAGTGAAGGAGTCTCAAACTTCTCAAGAGTCTCAGATCACCCTATAGCCTACATGCATTGACCTAGGAAAACATGCTAGGTCCAGCTTCTTCGTGTCTAAGCCTTTGCTCATTTCGGGTCTCAAATGTAAGATTTCATTATCCCCTGTTGCTTTTCTTTTTTTCCCCTACCAGAGAAGATTTGCATGCTTCCTAACAGAGCCCTGGACCGGACCAAGTTCCCAGTCCTTCTAGGGATCCAGGGAGGAAGTCGTTGCCTAGCATGTGTGGAGACAGAAGAGGGACCTTTCCTACAACTAGAGGTGAGGGATTTTTCCTCATGGTGGATGGGGAACCTTGCAGGATTGGCTTCCAGGATATCTTGCAATCTCTGAGCCCAAGCCCCCCACCTGTACATTTCCTGGCCAATTCCTTGTGTTCTTCACCCCAGGTCTCCACTATCTGTCACTACCTCCAGTACCAAGATTCTTACCCTTCAGAAGATACAATTGACAGCTTCCTTCATAAAGAATTATTCTGCGAAATACCTCATCAGCCAAACCCTAAAGGTGGTCGAGGCTGGCATCTCATTTAGTAGCATTGTCTTGAAGCTGATGCTTTTTGTCCCCACAGGATGTGAACATTGAGGATCTGTACAAGGGCGGTGAGCAGACCACACTCTTCACCTTCTTCCAGAGCAGCGTAGGGTCTGCATTCCAGCTTGAGGCTGCTGCCTTCCCTGGCTGGTTTCTCTGTGGTCCAGTAGAATCCAAGCAGCCAGTACAGTTAGCCAAAGAGAGTGATCCCTCAGCCCGCACTGAGTTCTACTTTGAACTAAGCCAGTAAGGAGGCACTTCACAAAGCTAAAGCACAGCTTAGTGCTTCCAGCTGAAGGGCATTCTGTTTAAAGTCTACAGTAGGCAGAACAGTGGTCCCCAAAGAGGCCCAGGTTCTAATATCTCAAACTTGTGGTTATGTGGTTTGATACGACAGAAGGGATTTGTTGGCTTTGAAGATGGAGAACAGGCCCATGAACTAACAATTATAGGTAGTTTTCTAGAAGCTGAAAAAAGGCAAGGGAATGAATTCTTGCTTAAAACTTCTGGAAGGAACACAGCAGCCTTCCTCACAGTTTGCTTCTAGGCAGTAAAACTCATTTCACACTTCTGGTGTCTAGAATTGTAAGATAATAAATTTGTGTTGTGTTCAGCCGCTGTGTGTGCAGTTATTTGTAATAGCAGCAATGGGAGCCTGGTACAGAACTTCAGTATGTCCCTCTGTGCAGTGCTTAATGCAAAGGGTGTGAATAAGTTCACAAGATCTTCTCCAGCCTGTCCACTCCAGAGCCTCTAGAAGAACCAAGAGAACCCCTCCCTCCTCCTCCTTCTGTGCATAAATCCTTGGTCTGTCAACAATTTTAGTTCTACTTCAAGTTCTATGATATTTTTTCCTTTATTTCACATTGAACGAATCATTCAGCAGATTTATCAGCACCATGGGATGTCTGCTGATTTTGAAATGTGAGCTGCTAGGAGACGAGTGAAGGAGAGGACAGTATGAGTGTCCTGGATGTGTTGAGTTTGAGGTTCCAGTGGAAACTCTAGGCTCAAGGACTACTTATAGTTGGAAATATAGAGCTGGAAACTCAGCTGAGAATTTATGGTTGGCACTAACATTCATTTAAAAGGCTAGATACAGTCTTTCTCCATGTCAGAGTATTGCTGGTCAGGATTTATGCTAGGATAGCCCACAGTATCAGGGATTGGTGTAGAAGTGGACTTCAGATATTGTTCATCTTTTGTATAGTCACTCAGTGAACTAAGTCCAATCATTGAGCCAAGAATTTCAGGAATGTATGGCTTCATCCTTTGAATGGCCTTGCAAGATCAATATTTTTAGCTTTGAGGAAACCATAACTACCAAAACTCAACTATACTTCTACCCAGTCAATTCTGATAGCTTGTGACCCTCAGAGGAAACAATCTTAAAAACCATAGAATTTCTAAGTCTGTAATTTTTTTTTCTAGTTTTAAGAATTTTTATTTACGAGGTGACTAAAAAGCCTATGGAATTCAGTTGTTTGAATGTCTATTATGTAGATTTGGCTAAAATGGTTTGAGTAACAAAAGAAGTGGGCCAATAACTAGCATTTTTAAAGTAACCCAGCAAAAGTTGAAGTTCCCTATGTAAGCCATCAATCAACAATTCAACAAATTCTCATGAATTTGACAGACTTTGGGTTAAATTATGGAAGACAAGAGAAAGAATACAAATTGTACTGATCCTACAATGAAAAATAAAATTACAAAATTATACATAAAAAAATATAGCCACGTAGCATAAGTCTAATATAGAACTAAGTATGCAAAGTCAATATAACACAAATTCATTTTAATTGTATTTATATTTTATAAATAACAGAGAGTAAAAAAAAATAAGAGAAGAATTTCTTATCTTTTGGGTTGGCAGCACAGCTCCGTAAAGACTGTCACCAGAGTTCCCTTCTCGAAGTATTTAAAAATTTGCAACTTAAATTCATTGCCAACAAGTCAAAATGAACTCATAGCTGATCATCCCCCACGTTTTTGGAGGCTATAAATCAAACAAGAGATGTCCCATATTTCTCCCTTGATGGATTTGAACTGACAAAAGAGGCTCCACATTTTGAGTTAGCCGTGCAGTTCCCTGAGGTCTACACTGCCAGAGTTTCCTGTCTGAGTACCATACTCTCTAATTACTATATATTTGGCCTTAGGGAGCCCTGATGACACAATAGGGGGCTCTGGTGGTCTAGTGGATAGGGAATTGTGCTGCCAAACCAAAGGTGAGTGATTCGAATATATCAGCTGCTCCTCTGGAGAAAGATGGGTGGTCTCCTCCTCTATGGTTTATAGTCTCTGAAAGCCTGCTAGAGGGTCAGTTCAGAGTCAGTATAATGGCAGTGAGCTAAGCTGAGGGCACTGTGGTTAAGGACTCAGCTGCTGACTGAATGAATGGCTGCTGCTTCAAACCCACCAGCAAATCTGCAGGAGAAAAGGCCTGGTGAAATTAGAACTCATCAGCCTTGAGTCATTTCTGACACATGTCAACCCACTTTCAGGTTTCTGGGAACGCACATTTTAGGAGGAGCAGCCTGCCTCATCTTTCTTCCTTGAAGCAGCTCATGGATTGAGGGAGTTAGACTACCAACCGTTTTGTTAACAGCTCAACATATAAACTGCTCGATACGAGCCCAGGAAGCCCTCTAGACAGTTTTAGTTTTACTCTGTCCACCCTATGGGAGTGTTATGAGTCGGAATAGACTTCAACAAACAACATGTTAGGCCTTAAGAGATTTCTTTAAAATAATACATGAAATCCATCTCTACTAATATAGTATGTATGTGTGTATACTTCAAACATTTTACAATACCTTTTGAGTTTATTGCTTTGTTCCTCTCTTATAATAAGGAACTTTGGAAGCAGGTGTGGCATCCACTTCCTAAACAGCATGCCTCTGGAAACTCTGTGAGTTTTGATAAATGGTGATGGCTGTGGAAGGGCTTCAGGCCTTTTTTTCATGGGGTCACTATAAGTCATGCTCCAATCAACAGCAATTAAAAACAACTCACATAAAAAATTCCAAATATTGAAGACATTACAAAATACTACTAAAAGAAATTAAAGAAGGCATAAATAAATGCAGTAAAAGAGTCCATGGCCACACCTTTCTCTCCCAGAGAGGCTGGTAGGTTTGGCTTGCTGACCTTTCATTTACCAAACCCTGTGCCACCAGGGGTCCCAAACTAGAGTTAGGAGAAGTAAATTATTTTCTTAAGGTTAAACGGGCTATAATTATGTGAGGGCAAGATAAAACCTGGTCTATCTGACTATTTCACATATTTTTATTCCATTGTCATTCTGAGAGTTTGGGTAAAACAATAAATGAAACCAAGCTTCTTGGAGCTTATAAATGAGAGTGAGGAAAACGGTCAAACAGACTAGAAATCACATGAGGGCAAGGTGCTAGAAGGGGAGGATCTTAAATATTCAGTAGTAACACTTAGTAAAGTGGTTAAAAACAAATGCAATTACCATAGCCTTGGTTCTGATACATGATGATCCAATGTGTAAGAGCAGAATAGCTCCCTAGGGTTTTCAACGCGGTGATCTTTCAAAAATTGATAGTAAGGCCTTTCTGCTGAGATGTCTCTCAGTGGATTCAGACCATTAATCTTTTGGTTAGTAGTTAAATGCTTAACCATCTATACCATCCAGAGAAACCAAAAGGGGTGCTAAGGGAGAGCTTTAAACAAAGGATGGATTTAATGGACTTTATAGCTTTCCCCAGTGTGTGCACCTTCCCCCAAGCTGCCTCTCTGTTACCTATGGACTCAGCCTGATTAGAGAGACATTTCACCTGGCAAAGTAACTAACTATATGTTTGTATGTTGGAACTTCATGCTGTTTTGAGCACATCTTTTCAATTTTGGTTCACCAATGTGTCTACCCCAAGTAGCTCCTAGGGGGTACACACAAGGTGCTGATTGAACGTAAAGTCTGAATAAAATTGTGACTGATGTAACTTGATTCTTTTGGACACAGAAAACAGTGTGAGGGGTGCTGTAGTAGCACTGTTGACAGCACAAAGGCAAGAGCTAGTGGAGAGGATTTCACAAAAGCAAGAACATTTAATCTGGTTCTCAAAAGTAGTTGCTTTCTAAACCAGGAAGGTGGATGAGGCACTTTGGGCAGCAGGAACAGCTTGTGCAGAATGGAAGGAGGAAGCCTGGGGGTGATGAGTCATTAGGAGTGGTTGAGACCTGGAATGATGGCTGGACTTGCTGAAAACTAAGGTGGGAAGATGGGTGGGGTCTGACTGAATATCTTGCCAACCTATTTAGACTTTATTCAGGAGGCTGAAGGAGTCATGCAGTTATTTCAAGCAGAGGCTCAAATTAAGCTGTTTCCACGTAATCAAAACTGTACCAACCAAGCTGCATACTAGCCCTGAGCTCACCTTAGGTTCTTTCTCACTTCTTCACATCTTTCTCACCCTCTGTTGAGTCTTCCCTGGAATCAGCTTCTGTGCTCTGGTTTCACTGGAGGCCTGACACAGGCCCTGTCTTCTAGCTGACTCCTTTCACAGAAGCTCACCTTAGACTGGTTTTCAGCTTTTCCCTGTGAACTGCTCCCACAACTTCTGAGACATGCTCCGACCTCCTGCCACTTATGAACTCTGAGCCTTGTCATATTAAGTCCTCTATTTTCTATGGTGGAAACCATTTTGAGCATCTAATATATGAGCACTGATCTGTCCATTTTCTGTACAGAGGTAACTTGTGGTTGCTGTGATGTTAAACACTGTAACACTGATGTGTCAGATGTGTTAATGGTTACCCATGGTGGACAGTGTTTGATGGAACTCCCTGACTAAAACAAGCTTGGAAGCAGGAGTGGCAACCACTTTCGAAATAGTTTGCCTCTGGAAACTCTATGAACTTAGAGAAATGATGAGAGTTATACAAGTGTTTAGGTCTTTCGTTCATAGAGTCGCTATGAGTTGTCTACTACTCAAAGGAATTTAACAATACCACCAACATAGAGAGAACTCTGTGGGCCTGGTGGATAGAAAGTTACACTACCAAATCAAAGATGGGTGATTGTAATCTGCAGACCTCAGGCCTGGTTTTAATTGTTTTGATCAAGCATTCTTCTAACTGGTATAGCACTGGTCTGTCCATTTGCTGTACAGAGGTAACTTGTGGTTGCTGTGAAGCTAAACATGGTGACACTGATGGGTCAAATGTAATAATGGTCACCCATGGTAGACAGTGTTTGGTGGACCTCCGTGATTAAAATAAGCT